CCCATGTGTGTGGGGCGGCATTGTACCTCCTTAATAAATGTCTGTTGAATTAACCAACAGAAAAAAAAACAAGATACTTTTCTCTTATTAAAGGCCTGAATCTCAGTGAGTATCTGAGAACATTTTTTTCTTTTATTCTCCCAACATCTCCTGTGAAAAAATAAACACTTTTACTTCATTGTGTATATCATCATTGAAAATTACGTATATGTTAGCAAGCTCATTTGTGGCTTAAGCACACTGCTCAAACTTTATTCCAAATAATTTAGAACTATTCACTTATTCTTAAGTAAACAAGAACTCACCAGGTACCTGCTCCCCATCAGGGGCTGTGCTAAGTGCTGGGGAGACAGCACAGAGCACACAGCACAGGAAGCAGGTGAACAGACATGAAAGGACAAAGAGGGAGAAGGTTACTATGTACCCAGAAAGCAAGCACAGAAGGGGCCAGAGACAGCTTGGAGGAGGAATCAGAGAAAGTGGTAAGTAAGCCAAGGCCAAAGAGACCAGAGTAGAGAAGCTACTGATAAGCATCCCAGCAGGGAGCGGAAGGCCAGTCCAGATCAGAACAGAAGCATTTGACCTGACAAAGCAAAAAGCCTAGTTGATAAGGTGGGTGGAAGGCACAAGAGCCTGGAGGGGCAAACAAGGAAGAACCTCAGGGGTCTTTGTGGTTCACTTAGGATTTCACAGTGAGTGGAGATTTTATTCTGAGGTAAGAGGGGATTCAAAAAAGTTTTAAGCTTTGGTGGCTCTCTGGCCCCCAAAAGCCACCAAAATAAAAATACAATAAGGAACTAGCTTAGTCAAATTAGGTGGAACTATCACAATGAAAAATACCGGTAATACATTAGAATACATTGGGGGAAATCAAGAATGCATGAGTTTGTACTAAGAAATACCAAATAATGGGTAAGTAAAAAATATACCAGCAATGAGGAGGGTAAAGGGAAAGCTTTCCTTTATAGTAGAATTCTGACTAATAAAGTGAAACATGACCATGTTGGAGCTGTCATGGGGTATATCCTGGCAGGAATCATCGGTAAAGGCTAAAATCATTGGGGGAAGGTTGTTGAGGAACAGGTTATGTTGCCATTTCACAGCTTATTAATTGCTTACACTTAAGTAATTTCAAAGGGGGAAAGGATGTTCTTATGCTGGATACATAAGGCGGACCCCATCTGACTCAAGTTGAAAGTTGGCTTTCCCAGTAATGGTGGCCTACAAACTCAAAAGTTAAGATGTCCATTATCTTCAAAAATATCAAGGTCAGGAATGACAGCGAGAGGTTGAGGGATTTTCCAAACTAAAGGCAACAGAGGAGATATGCAAGTGAATGCAGTGTGTAACTCTAGGCCAGGTGCTCGATCACAGTGACATTTGCTATGATGGACACAGAACTCCAGTATGGCCTCTATCCCAGTCTTACCAGCAAGGTTACGTGTCCTGAATTGGAATGATTTATTAACTTGTTTCACGGCTGTGTAAGAGAATCTCTTTGGTCATAGGAGATATAAACTGAAGTATTTAGGGGTGACAGGTGAAGGTCTCTGCAAGTTTCTCTCAGATGCTTTAGTGAGATGCACACACACACATACACAGAAATACACCTGGTAAATCTAGGTGTAGAATATGTAAGCGGTCACAACTTGTCTGTGAGTTTGAAACTCTTCAAATGGAGATTTTTCCTTTAGAGATACAGATGCATTGGTGAATGATATGATAGTATGTCCAGGATTTGCTTCAAAACCATCTAAAGTGGTCAGTAGGAGTATATAAGAAATAATGGGACAGGCTGGTGAGTTGAAAATTGTTGAAGCTCCGTAATGGACGTCTCACGATTGGGGCTCTTTTTAAAAAAAAAAAAAAATTTTTTTAATGTTTATTATTTGAGAGAGAGAGAGAGAGAGAGGGACAAAGAGCAAGCAGGGGAGGGGCAGAGAGAGAGGGAGACGCAGAATCCGAAGCAGGCTCCAGGCTCTGAGCTGCTAGCAAAGAGCCTGACGTGGAGCTTGAACCCACAGACCACAAGATCATGATCTGAGCCGAAGTCGGCCACTTAACTGACTGAGCCACCCAGCTGCTCCAACGATGAGGGTTCTTGAAACTCCCCCCCTCTTCTGTATGTGTTTTAAATTCCCCATGATAATAAAAACACGGTGAAGACATCTTGCATATTCCATGAACAGGTACTGGTCAAATGCAGTGAAAGCCAAGGACTGCCTCCCGGGGCATGCCACAGCCTTCTGGCTAGAGAAGAGGGTCCTGGGCGAGACCCCTGGGTCTCCAAGCTGGGAAGGCTGGGAGAGTGGGTGGGCATGCCAGCAGGTGCCAGCCTAGGGGGGGCAGGCCTCAGGGCAAGGAGTGAGGGGAAGGGAGAGTCATACCCCTGAGGGGCCACAAGGGAGGTGCAGGTTACCTGAGTGCAGAATTCTGGAAAGAGGGACTCTCTCTCGAGAAGGTTAGGCAGCGTGCTCTGTGACATCCTCAGGCTGGCTCCTGTGTGAAGACACGCAATGATGACCTAGGCTGGCCCTTCAAGGCCTCTGTGGTTGGATTTAGGTCTCCCTTGGAAGTAAGCCCAGGTGGCAGAGGGTGCCGCCTGGACCCACAGCCTAGACTCGCGCTATTCCCTTCTGGGACTGCGGCCCCACCCAGTGCTGAAAGGCCCAAGTATCCGTCCAGGCCCGGGAAAAGACTGCACTTCGCCATGACTGTCTGCCTGTGGCTTCATACAAGGAAGGACTTGACGAGACACAGACATTCTGAAGACACTTCCCAGCTTGGATGTTTCAGGCAGAGAACTAGACTTAATAAGCATTTGTTTTTTATTATTAACTTGGGAATATTTTAATCTCGCAGACCTGGCAAAGTAGATGTTCTTTTTTCAACGTTTATTTATTTTTGGGACAGAGAGAGACAGAGCATGAACGGGGGAGGGGCAGAGAGAGAGGGAGACACAGAATCAGAAACAGGCTCCAGGCTCTGAGCCATCAGCCCAGAGCCTGACGCGGGGCTCGAACTCACGGACCGCGAGATCGTGACCTGGCTGAAGTCGGACGCTTAACCGACTGCGCCACCCAGGCGCCCCTAGATGTTCTTTTTAACCCGATATTCCTGAACACTCAACTTCTGAAGAAATGAGAGGCATCCCTCCAAGGGGAGAGAGAGCCACTGTCTAGACAGTGCTGCCTGTGTTCCAGGCAGTCATTCCCCTGCCTCTGTGAGCCTCATCCCGCCTGGAGCTGGGGGCCCCGCCCCTCCACGAAGGCTGAGCACAGGTGGCGCCAGGTGCCCGGGGTTGCGCACACAAGTCTGCAGACAAGTGGGCGTCTCCCCTCGCAAATTTCTCTAATGAGGACTCTCTGCCTCATTGTTTTGTGAAATAGACCCCCCACCCAGTCCTCGAAGATGCCCCCCCTGTTGTGAAGAGGGGAGCCCCCAGGTAACAACAGGCTCCATTTTTAAACATTAACCACAACCACCTGATGGGGCTTGAAATTTCCCCTCCCCGGTCGTGGAACCAGCCAGAGTTTCCCTGAGCACACTAAGCCACCCGCACCTCTGTGTGTTTCCCCTTCTGTCTCTCCCTTCTTCCTCTGGCCAGTACTCATCCATTCTTTCCAAGACGTAACTCGGACGCTTTGACCTCCTCCAGGAAGACTTCCCGGAATACCCGCCTCCAACCCACTGCCAGCTGATCAGGTCATCATTCATGCTCCCGCCCCATGCGGGGTGAACCTGTAACACAGCTCTCACTGTGAGGCACAGAAACCCCACTTATGGGTGCACTTTATCTTTGGCTTATTATAAACTTTGCAAAGGCAGGAGCTTGATCTTGGAATTTGCATCTTCACCATTTGTCACAGTGACTGGTATTAGTGAATGCTTGCTGAACAGAGATCATCCCAACTTTGCTAACTCACTCACCAGCCTCCTATAAGCTTCTGTCAATTCTTAGTGAGCTACCTTTATTTATTTTTTAAGTTCATTTATTTATTTTGAGAGAGAGAGACAGAAAGGGGGGGAGGGGCAGAGAGAGAGGGAAAGAGAGAGAGAATCCCAGGCAGTCTCCGCACTGCCAGCACAGAGCCCGATATGGGGATCGAACCCACGAACCGGGAGATCGTGACCTGAGCTGAAGTTGGGCACTTAACGGACTGAGCCCCCCAGGCGCCCTAGAGCTGCCTTTATTTCTAACACCATTCACTACATACAGCAAATGCAGCAGACATGGAATTCTTATCACTTGTACCTTTTTTTTTTTTCCTGGATTCCATGGTGACAGCTATTTTTGTTTCTTTGTCTGTTTGTTTTGACAACTTTATAACCTTAGATACCACATGCCAGAGTTGGGTGAATTATACTTTTCCATATTGGCATTATCACAATGGTGTTTTCCTCTGGATATATTTTAGTCACTCTGATTAGATGTAGGAAACAGTTTCCTTAATCCACTCAGTGAAACACTTGGGTCTCCTTGGTGACAGGGACAGTCACTGCAGTTGGAGCTGCCACCTAGCAGGCACTTTCTGTCCATCGTTCTCACCTTCGGTTTCAAAGGATGACACTTTGTGACCTTCCCCCCGCCCAACTCTGGGGGTGTTACTCTCAGAGCACAACACCCTACGTACCCATCGGGTGAACAAATGTGGGACACACACACACAGACACAAATACGCATTTCAAATCTTTCATTAGGTCAAATATCTGAATTTACACTTTTGTTTAGAATCTTCTCATCTTTAGGTGTAGAGGGTTTCTCTACCACTCGGGTTCCACTGTAGTCTCACAGTTAATGCCCTTCCCATTATTTTACATACATGAAAAGTGAGCTAATGCAGAGTTTTCATGCTTTTTACAAACACCATGACACACAGTAAGAAATACATTTTAGAGGCGCCTGGGTGGCTCAGTCGGTTGATCATCCAATTCTTGATTTCAGCTCAGGTCACAGTCTCGGTTGGCGGGACTGAGCCCCGAGTCAGGCTCTACACTGACAGCACAGAGCCACCTTGGGATCCTCTCTCTCTGCCTCTCCCTCCTTAAAAATAAATAAATACACTTAAAAAAGTAAAGTCTATTTAAAAAAAAGAAATACATTTTATTTTTTTAATATTTATTTATTTTAGAAAGAGAAACAGAGCAAGAGCGGGGGAGGGGCAGAGAGAGAGGGAGACACAGAATCCGAAGCAGGCTCCAGGCCCTGAGCTGTCAGCACAGAGCCTGATGCGGGACTCAAACTCATGAGCTGTGATATCATGACCTGAGTCGAAGTCAGACACTTAACCGACTGAGCCACCCAAGCTCAGGCCTCTAAAAAAAAAAGAAATACATTTTATATCACAGCCCACTACACACACACACACACACACACACACACACAGGCAGCAAGTCTCATGAAATATTGGTGATGGTAGCACGACACTGTCAATGTGGTTAACGTCACTTCAAAATGGTTAAGATGGCACATTTTATATATATCTTGCCACAATTTTTTAAAGTTTCACGAAGTACTATTTATCCTACTTTGTGCAGTGTTCTCTGATGTCCTCTATCATGCTTTACTTTTGTTCATTCTAGTTGTAATATTGAAATCAATTTATGACTCACCGTGGTCACAACTGCCATTGACTGGTGCACAGGTGAACTGAGTGAGGGTGAGGGAACGGAAGCTTGTTCCTTGGCTTTCACACTGCTCCTGGGGCTCTTTGCTTTTCCAAAGCATCTGGAACAGCATAATTTAAAAAAGTGAATAACACAAACTAATAACTCCCCATACACGCATGTATAATTCACTATGTGTAAAGGCTGAGTTTGGAACCATATTTGGAAAAATATGACTTAATTGCATAGCTGTAAATTATATCTTAATTTGCAAATCTTTCCTTCCTCGATTTGAAATTTATAAGTATATGATTCTGTCGGTTACTGGTTTCATCTGTAGTGCAGACAGTTACCGTAAGTGTGTGAACCGGGTGGATTTACTCTGTAGAGACAAACACTCAACTGCTGTGTCCACGGCCTGAGCTGGAGGTCTCTGCCACACACCATTGTTTCAAGACGTTTGGCTGTGACATCACGAAGGGAAAAGAAATGGCAGTATGAGGGAGTGAGGACAGGGAGAAAGAGAGGTTTCCTCAATGGGGAGGACTGAGCGAGCACCATGAGAGAGTGGGGAGCCCTGTGCAAGTTGGGCAAGCCTGCTCTACGGCTGTCCTGTCATTTCTGTCCACATGACAGACTTCTGTCCAGCCATCCAAAGTGCTTTTATGCAATCATATTAATAATTATAAATAGCATTTCTTTGCCACTTTGAATGTGTCAGGTGTTTCTCACACGCAGGATCTCCTATCCCCACAATGACACTGGAGTGTAAGTTACCACATCTATTTAAGGTGAACCCCAGAGATGCAAAATCATATGCCCAACATTCCCATGCCAGTGAGTAGACTGCAGACTAGAATTCCAGCATCTGCGCATTTTCCACAGCCCCAGGGTGTGCAAATCCCATCGTGGAAATTTCATATTTCACTCCGTGGAAACTTATTTGCTGTACCTTCCTTAGCATAACAAAGTGGAAGACAGTAGTTTTCTACATAAAGAATCAACCAGACATAGGCACCTGCGGGGCTCAGTAGGTTAAGTGTCTGACTCTTCACTTCGGCTCAGGTCATGATCTCATGGTTCCTGGGTTCGAGCCCTGTGTTGGGCTTTGCACTGACAGCTCAGCGCCTGCTTGGAATTCTCTCTCTCCCTCTCTCTTCCTCTCTCTGCCTCTCTCTGCCCCTCCCCTGCTTATGCACACATGTTCCTTTCTCTCTCTCTCTCTCAAAATAAATAAATAAACATTTAAAAAAATTAACCAGGCTTAATATATTGCTCTCTGATAAAATTCAGTTAGTTGTAATACCTTTACTCAGAGAACAATAGCTTCACTTCTCCCCAAAGACATTAATGTGTTCTGTCAGTACAACTCTGGTTATATAACCTTTACTGATGAAGACACAGGTTATTTTATTTTAAGTTTATTTACTTGTCTTGAGAGAGAGAGACGCTCAACCTGCTGAGCCACCCAGGCTTCCCAGATACAGCTTATTTTAGATCTGCTTAAAATTAGAATTCTGGGGGCGCCTGGGTGGCGCAGTCGGTTAAGCGTCCGACTTCAGCCAGGTCACGATCTCGCGGTCCGTGAGTTCGAGCCCCGCGTCAGGCTCTGGGCTGATGGCTCAGAGCCTAGAGCCTGTTTCCGATTCTGTGACTCCCTCTCTCTCTGCCCCTCCCCCGTTCATGCTCTGTCTCTCTCTGTCCCAAAAATGAATAAACGTTGAAAAAAAAATAAAAAAATAAAAAAAAAGAAATTAGAATTCTGTTGAGCACCTGGGTGGCTCAGTCAGTTAAGCATCCGAGTCTTGATTTCAGCTCAGGTCATGATCTCATGGTTTGTGAGTTTGAGTCCCGAGTCAGGCTTGCTCTGTGCTTGTGATTCTCTCTCCCTATGAGAGAGTGCACCACTTGCACTGTCTCTGTCTCTTTCAAATTAAATACATAAACTTAAAGTTTTTTTAATTAAAAAAAATTAGAATTCTTTGTCTTGAGATCACCATATCCTAGTATATTTGCTTAAATGCAGGTGGATGTGGCTTTTCTTGATATGCTCCCCCTTCCTCCCCAAAAATCGGGACCATTCGACGAACACCTGTAAAGTCCCTATTTTGATCTTGAGTATGATGTTATTTGTTAAAGGGTGCACAACAAAATGCTTCTATTTTTGTAGGTAAACAAAAGAAATACTACATATGATACAGGCTATGTTCTCAAAGATATTGCAGTGTTTGGGGGACGAGGAGACATTTATGAACCAGACAACGTGTAACAAAATGGTAAATAATCAGAAGACAAAACGTGCCAAAAATAAGTGCCATCAATAATAGGGGTAGACGGAGGGTTAGAAATAAACCTGGTCCCGGTATAGAATTCTTTTTACAAATGCTGGATTCTATATGGCATTTTGTTACGAAGTTTGGCATTTATATTTACGAGGTCTAGAGGGCTTTGGGGGTTTTGTTGTGTTTTGTTTTGTTTGTACTGTCTTTGTCTGATTTTGATATCGGGAGGATACTAGCCCATGAAATACTTGTTTCACGAAATGAATTGAGAGATGTCCCCTCCTTTTCTGTCTCCTGGAAGAGATTATGTAGAATTGGAGTTAACTTGAAATGTTTGGTAGGGTGTGGCAGTGGAAATGTCTGGGCTGGAGGCGCTACTATTTGCTGCAAAGTGCTTGCTTTCCCCATGAGGCTTGATGGCGTGGCAGTGAGGGACACTCCAGGACCGCATCACTTGAAATTGGTACGGACTAACTTGCTGAAGCTTTGACTATCCTTTGAAGTTCCTGCAGTGAGGTAGGTAGGTAGTGTTCGTGCACACATATTTCCTTTGCCCATCATATCAATGTTGTGAAATCAACAGGGCGGGATTATCCTCACCCGTTAACTGTATTTCAGTTCAAGAAACGGGCTCAAAGGTTGAATGACTCATCCGTGCTCACTTAATAAGGCAGGAAGGAGGAAGGGCATTTTGTTTCATGGTGGGTGACCTCCCTGGGCTGTCACTGGAAGAAGCAACTTCTCAAGGCTCTTAGCGATAACACAGGGGCATTCTGCCGGATGTTTAAGCCCAGTAGCAGAAGCACTCCTAGAGACCCTGGTTTGCCCCGTGGTCGTTAAAATTTTGCTCACATCTCACTTGTATGAGACAAAAGGTCTGGCCTCATCTACTCCCCAAGACGTTTCCCCTTAGGTTAACTCCCCCTGTAAACAAGGCGGCATCTCACCTCGTCTGAAAGCAGAGAGGGTCGCTGGAGGCGGGCAGGAGGCGAGCACTCACTCTGTCCACACACAGCCCGCCCTCGCCCCACGTCTGCCGCCCTTGACAGGGACCTGAGATGACGAGTTAGGAAGATGAGCAGGATGTCCGCAGGTCCAGCTACGCTCAGCGAAACGAGAGAAACCCGGAAGTACTACCTTACCCTACCTCTCCCGCCACCACGTTCCCGGAAGTACCACCTTACACCACCTTGCCCCCCACCAAACCCGCCCGGAAGTACTACCTTAACCCCCCCCCGCCCGTCGCCCCACCCCACACCCGCCGGAAGTACTGCATTACCCCACCTTGCCCCCCACCGCACGCGGACGCTCAGCCCTACTTTACCTCTTCAGATTTCCCAAATCTCACCCATCCTTCAAAGTGGCGCTCACACCTTACCTGCCTCTGAGCGCCATCGGTAACGTGTTGCACGTGCTGCTTTGACGGTTAGCTCTGGGCTTTGGGGATCTGATCCTTCACGAGTTCATTCGCTGCGCGGCGCCGTGTGTTGAACGCAGAAGTTTCACAGGCCAGGGTCAGGCCAGGTGGCCTACTCGCCAGGCCCTGGTCACGCCCAGCCACCCCTCCGCAGCCCCTCTCAGCAGCCTGAGCTGGACCCCTTCATATTTAGAACTGATTCCTAACCAGCGCAAAGTGATGTCAGGGAGAAAGGATCCGTTGTGTTTGAGCAACGACTGGCCCTGGCAGGATGGAGGGTGGAAAGTGAGCTGGGGTCTGGGGGCTGCCGGACGGATTCCCTCCCACCAGTTTGTATGAACATCTTCAAGTACACGGCCACATGTGCCACCACCCATGTTCAACTGTGTTTATTCTATACCGTTCTCAGTGGTTTCTACTCACTTCCCTTCATGTGCGTGATTCCTTTTCCACTAAAGCAGCTCAAATGGAAGTCCGTGTGTGAGAAATTCTGGGGCCGGGCCCAGGCCTGGCGCCAAGGCGGGTGGAGTGCGGGGACCCGTGCTCATCTGAGCCCCGCGTGGCCGTGGCCTCGGCCCAGCCTCTCTCTCCACTTCCTGCTGAAGTCGGTCTTGCCCAGAAACCTGGCCTATTTGGCTCCCGCCGCGACACCCTCTGCCAGTCTTCCTCCCCTCCCCCGCCCTCCTTTCCTCCCCTCCTTTCCCGGAACTTGTGACAGCGCCTCCCTGCAGTTTCAAGGACCACATGCTGTCTGTTTTTGCTGCCCTGACCCATATTCTTGTGGCCCTTTCCCGGGGGGTGTCCGCCTAGGTCAGATCTGAGCACTGCTCACTGGACGCTGGGTCGCACCCTCCTCCCAGACCCTGGTTTCCCCTCGTCCTCAGCTATGCAGGGCCCGTGGCTGTGGCCCCATGTGCTTTGAACCGAACCGGCAGGGGTTTGGACAGGGCAGGAATTCCTCCCAGCGGCGGTAAACATCACGAACGCAGCCGTCTCTCTCTGTCTCCTCCGTGGCGGTTACCCCAAAATATCTTATTTCCCTTGCCAGACTCGAGCCTCCAGGTGGCATAGAGTGTGTCTTATGTGTTTTAAATCACCCATAGCATCCCACTCATGAGAGGTGTTCGTGGGTTTCCTGAATTGGTGGACAGCGTTCGCTGGCATGAGTACAGAAGGAGTAGCTGTGGTCGCATGATCTTAGAACGACTGAAGGGTTTGTGACGTGGATTTACTTTTGACTAAGAAGTTCAGGGTCTCCCAGCCACAAAGCAAGCAAGGCTTACCTACGGAAAGGTAGGCAGTGTCCAAAGAAACGGGCACAGACACCGTGAAGAACTTGGGCTGCCAATGGAGCCAGGGCCTGGCCAGGCCAGAGAAGGCCCGAGGCCGGATCGGTAGGACGTGGGGACATTTGCTGCGGTTAGAAGCCTCCAGAACCATGTGATACAACCTGATCTGCGAACCAGGGTCTCGAGCGCAAAACACCTCACTGGACTTTGAAAGGAGCCTGTGTCTCTTCTGAGGTGGCCTGTCAGGCCAGGCTCAGGGACCAGGCAGGGGTCAGTTTCTGTCCCGATGATTGACAGGCAGTGCTGTCAATCAAAGGCAGGCTGGCTTTGGGCCAACCCTGGTGCCTCAGGCCAGGCCGCGGTGGCGGGCAGGTGTGGGACATCTGTAGGCCCAGATGAAAGCCCGCACAGAACACCTCTGGAGAGCTCTCTGTCCCACACGTCCCCCACCACAGGCACCTGTGCAGCTCAGCTGGGTGGACCGCCAGTGGCCGCAAGGCTTCACGGATGCCCGGGTCGCATGCGGCCACACTTCTAAGACGGCTCAGTCCAGCCCTGTCGAGACAGCAGGTGTTGGGGAAGGACAGGGAAACAGAGCACTTGGAGGCGGGGACAAGCGTGGCAGCGTGGCTGTGATGTGCCACAGGAAGGGTTGGGTCAGAACACTGTCCCACAGCCCGCCCTGCGTGAGGGACATGAAGGACCCTCTCTCCCACGGCCCCTCCTCTGAGAGGACCCAGCTGCCGGCCAGGAATGGCTGCAGGCCACCTCATGCAGCCTGGCGGCCAGGCGTGACGGGCCCAGTGGGGGGCACACCGCCCTGCCCTAGCTGCCTGCCATGACAGTGAGCTCGACCAAGTCGCTTACCCTTTCTGCACCTGACTTTGCTCATCTGCAAAATGGGGATCCTAACATCTGCCTCAGCCAGCCGCCCAGGCACCCAAACAAGCCACTGTTGTATCAGCAGTCAAAATCCATCATTACCATTTGTTAGATATTTGGTGTGCTTTTCTTTAAGTTTATATCTTTATATCTTTATTAATTGATATATTATATATAGTAAACATATATATATATCCTATATATTTATTTTAAAGTTTATATCCACACAAGTGGAGGACGGGGGGGGGCGGGGGGGCCGGACAGAGGATCTGAAGTGGGGTCTCCGCTGACACAGGGTCTCTGCTGACGTGGGGCTTGAACTCACGAACTAGGAGATCCTGACCTGAGCTGAAGTTGGATACTTAACCAACTGAGCCACCCAGGCATCTCTTGGTGTGTTTTTTTTTTTTTTAAGTTTATTTATTACTTATTTAAGAGAGAGAGAGAGAGAGAGCAAGTGAGCACAAGTGCGAGGGGGGCAGAGAGAGACAGAAAAAGGGGATCCCAAGCAGGCCCCACATGGTCAGCGCAGAGAGCCTGACTCGGGGCTCAGTCTCACGAACCGTGAGATCATGACCTAAGCCGAAATCAAGCATCAGCCGCTTGACCGACTGAGCCCCCCAGGCACCCCTGAACCACTTTGCCCATTAATACACTGAACTCTCATTTTGTCGTTGGGCTTTTTTCTTCTGTTCAGAGTTTCATCTTTGCCCATAGTGGATACGCAGGACCAATAGAGAGTGATCCTCAGAACCGAAGCTCAGACCGCCCTGTAGACTGCAGGGAGGACGAAAGAAGACAGCAGAGTCGGCAGACCACTCAGCTGCACGGAAACCCGTGTCAGCCAGAGAGAGACCTCACTGTCTGTCTACACACCTGGATGGACCTCCAGCTGCCTCCGAGGCATCTCAGATGCACACAAGCACCGACCCCAGGACTAGATCGTCAGCCGCGGGTGGAATGGCGCTAATTCAGAACTAGGCAAAAGCTTGAAAGAATGTTAACGTAATAGATCCTTCAGAAACACTCAGGACAATATTGCATCTACAAAGCAAAAATAGACTGCCAGTGGGAACGCCAGTACAAGCGAGAGTTACAAGGAACTTAAACACAATTTTTGAAAGACGTAAATTATAACATCCAAGAAACAACTGAGTAACAGGATGGACTCAAATGTAAAACCTCCAGGATGTGTTTGTGTAAATCTCCAGCAAGAAAACATACACTAAAAACACAGAGACAGGGGCACCTGGGTGGCTCAGTCGGTTGGGTGGCCGACTTCAGCTCAGGTCATGATCTCTCGGTCTGTGTGTTTGAGCCCACGTCAGGCTCTGGGCTGGCAGCTCAGAGCCTGGAGCCTGCTTCCGATTCTGTGTCTCCCTCTCTCTCTGCCCCTCCCCTGCTTGCTCTCTGTCTCTGTCTCTGTCTCTCTCTCTCAAATAATAAACATTAAACACACACACACACACACACACACACACACACACACACAGAGACAACACAAGTTTTCTGCTTCCGGTGATGCTGGGCTGGCTGATTCTGATCGATCCTCCCCCAGACACCTGAAAAGGCAGCAAATTAAAATCTTCTGGAAAACATCTGGAGACTAAACAAGATGTGGGGAAGGATGGGAATTTGCCCGAGCTCTGCATGTACTTGCCACTGTGGAAGAGGTGGCCAAGAAGAAGGGGCTGGCTTTGACCCGGAGCGAGGGGTCCAGGCCTGCCGTCACGGTAAGCCAGGAGCAAATCAGACTTCTGTGGCTACAGTTACTCTTAATATGTTGTCTTTTAACTTTTATATTAGGGTTGAAAATAACTTACACATGACGATGCAGTGTTCCATTGTTCTGTCTGTATACTTACCTCTACCGGTGGGAGTTTTGCTCTGCTGTGCTTTCGTGTTATGCTGTTTAGAGTGTTTCCATTTCAATTTGAGTAACTCCTTTGAGCGTTTTCTGTAAAGCAGATCTCATGGTAATGAAATCCCTCAGTTTTCTGCTTCTCTAGCAGAGACTTGATCTGTCCTTCATTGATCTGTCCTTCATCAACATCCTTCATCGTCCTTCATTGCTAAGCTTTCCTTTCCACACTTTAATGTCTATCATCCTACTCTTTCCTGGCCTGGGAGGTTTCTGCTGAGAAATTTGCCTGTAGTCTCCTGGGGCGTTCTTTAAGTGCAACATGTCATTTTTTTCTTGCTGATTCCAAAATCCTCTGTCTTCAACTTTTGACAGTTTGATAATAATGTGTCTTGGTGTAGACCTCTTTGTCTTCAATCTATTTGGGATCCTTTGGGCTTCGTGAATCTGGGTGTCTATTTGTCCATTTTCTTCCCCAGATTTGGGAACATGGGGCATTATTTCTTTAAGTAAACTTTCTACTTCTTTCTCTCTCTCTCTCCTCCTTATGAGACTCTCAAAATGTGTATACAGTGGTCTCCCCTTATCCACAAGGGACACATTCCAAGACTCTCAGTGGATTCCGGAAATCACAGATAGTACCAAATCCTATGAATGCTAT